CCTGGCCCCCATTACCCTCAACCACTAATCCCTGGCAGCTGTTTCTGTTCTTAGCCTGAGACGGTGACTGCTTGTTGGTAACCTTGTCACCTGTCTTTTTACTCTTTTTGCATGTGTAATAAGGGTGGTCTGCATGACTGAGTATGAGTACTGATGCTCGCTTATTGCTACTCATCAGTATCAGTACTGATACCGCACCGCTATTTTATATGTACAATTTAGAAAATTAAAAAAGACTGATGCTTGGAAGAAAACTCTTAATTCCACTCTATCTAATCTATGCCTCGTATCTTGGAATGAAGTCTTGTTAAAGGGAACATTTCTATAGAAGATGGCAACACCATCCATCACCATAACCGCTTAATCCCAACTGGGGTCGTGGAGGGGAACCTATCCCAGGAACAAGGGGCGCGGGTGGGAACCCTGGGCAGGCGCCAAAACACACCCCCACAGGGCCAATTTAGACTCGCTAATCAACCTGCCCTGCATGCTTTTGCACTGTGGGAGGAATCCGGAGCCCCCAGCAGAAACCCACGTGAACAGCATGCGAATTCCACACAGAAAGGACCTACGCCCAACCCGGGATTGAACCCGGGACCTTCTCGCTGTGAAGCAGCAGTGCTAACCACTGTGCCTCCATGCCCCCCATCACCCCGAGACGGCAATGCCATTTTATACAATCAAATACAGTCTTGTGTTTAGTTACACCTGATAGTCATGTCTGCGGTCCACAGTAAATAATATAGGTCATCAGCAGCTGTATTGCTTAGTGTAACAGATACAGGAGAATGGGCAGCAGCACCAGCCGTGTGATGACCTGCTGTCCATATACAACCATCTGTTTTCTGAAACCGGTTCAAGGTAATGGGGGGTCTGGAGCCTATAGGCACATGGCAGGGAACAACCCAGGATGGGGGGCCAACCCATTGCAGGGCACACTGACATCATACACTGACATCATACACTGACATCATACACTGACATCATACACTCACACAGGCACACCTATGGGCAATATGGCAACTGCAGTCAGCTTAGCATGTTTTTGGACTGTGGGGGGGAAACTGGAGTACCAGGGGGAGATGACACGGGGAGAACATGCAAACTCCACACACATGAAACCGTCCTGGCGGAGACTCAAACCCAGGCCCCAGAGGTGTGAGGTAACAATGCCGCCCCCCTTCCCCCCCCATATCTAACTTTTATCATTTTTATAATTAAGTATGTATATGTGATGGACAGCTACAATATCGAGATACGTCCAAATTTGTCTTGTGGCTGTTGGTCCCGGTCCAAACGCGAATGTAAGTCGGCGCAAGGCTGCACAGAACAAATGGCTCAGATGTTTGGAACTGCTTTGCTTGTAGCGCGACCCACTGGCGAGTGATACTCATCTATCCAGTATCCACTGCGTAGGTAATCTAATGATAGACATTGGACAGACACTGCTGCTCCAGTTGTCACTGGCAAAGCTGATAGCACTTATTTCACGCATTAAGCTGCTGACAAAGTCATGCTTCCTTGTTGAGGCGGCATCTGTAATATGGGTGCGACTGTACTTGGGCTCCGACACGTTCAGATGGTGGTGAAATCCGACGTCATTTACGGCCGACAATGACTGGTCATTAAGAGCGATATGCTGGGAATCATTCCGTTATTTTCACTGCACGGGGGTTATCGTTTGGCATCTTCTCTCTCCGTGCAGGTCTTTGCTGCACAGTGGGTTATTGCAGAATGCTGCTGGTCGCAGTCGCATTGCACATTACCCCTCCACATCCGCGAGGGTTCCGTTCCGAAGATGCCCACGAATCTAAAAATTCGCAAAAAATACTTGGGGGAACACCTTATCTCAACCCATATCAGTCTGCGAGCCTGAACACTAAAGTCTATTTACCACCAATTTCCCATCAGTACTGTACTTTACACTTTGCATGTTAAATTGCCTTGTCAATTCTTATCTAGACACATTTGGTTAATATCCAAACTATTCAAGTTATATCCCAGTAAGTACGAAGTTACTACCGTTCGCAAAGGGGGCTCTGCGTTCTGGACCCATTATTACAAAACTGTAAAATTTTAAGAAGAAACGTGAGATTCCGCGGTTACAAAGTCAGCTAAGGGAGTAATGCTGATTTCTGAGACAAAAATGCGCGGCTTACCCAATTTAATACGATATATAACATGATTTTATGCGCTCTGAATCATTTTCAGTATTGTTTTTGGCTGCTGCGTCGTCTGCGTGCTCCAGAAATATTCCCGTATAATTGTTCACGGCCAATTTGCGAATGACCGAAACCGCGAACGTAAAGGGGTTACTGCACTCTCTTGCGTTTAATTATTCGTCTGCTAAATGAGTTGAATGGGGGGTTGAGGTACCTGAATTAAACCATGACCTGTAGTGACTCAAGATACCTGGTACAGGTTTCCTGTTTATTTATTTACTTTTGAAGCTGCAAGTTCCTAGTACAGGGCGTGTTATCGCCTGGGAGGTGGGTGCTGCATCTGATCTGCTTGCCTCTTCCTCCAGTATGTCTTGCACTGGGTTTCTGTGCTGTTTGCTTTGCAGGCAGCAGGTTGCACAAGCTGAGGTGCGAGGATGTTTCAGTTTTACGCAACGTGTAGGGTGTGACCACAGGACTGCATTCCGTTTCTGGGTAGCGGCGTGGCAGTGAGGCTATTGGGCAGGAATTTTTTAAATAGTTTTGATTGGAGGTCCTCCTGGGGGTGCTATAGTTTTGCCTCACAGGCCCCCAGGGTTCTTTGGGGGGGGGGGTATGGTGACCAAAAGGGTTCCATGGGTCCTGCTGCACGCAATCTGGTGTGATCTCGCACCTGTCACATGACCTGTTTCTGTCCCCAATCCGCTCCCTAGTCGGTACAGAAGGACCGGTCGGCCATCTTGGTGCAGGCGTGTCGGTGTGACTCATCCTCTTCACAGGACAAAGGGCGAAGGGACACCCAAGGGCTCCTCGTCTGGGGGTCTGCGTCATCCGGGAATGTCAGCGTGAAGCCTGTTAATCTGCAGAGAAAACGCCCCCCCCCCCGTGTTGTCAGAATCTGTGTCTGACAGGTGGATGGGAAGATGGCATCGCATTCTGTGGGCTGAGTTTTTCCCATTTCATGTGTTTTTCTGGACCTTCACTGAATATTGAAATGGCTGGATTAGGGCTGTTAAAGTAACGGATTCATGCTGTAAAATTTCAGTATTAGGGCTCGCTGTGATATTTTAGTCTCATGAGGTTTTCTCTTGTAAAGCATTTTGCTTGCATTGGTGTTTCAGTGTTTCATACATGTGTCCTTTAATAGAAGGTCATTCTCATGGTCATGTGGTGTTTGGTGGTAGATGGCTACAGATGTTAACTGGAAAAGCCCATAGTAATGGCATATGACTGTTGGTGAGAGCAGGCTGGCTGTGAAGGGCAGCCACCCATGGCAGCGCCCAGGGAGCTGGGGGTTAAGGGCTCTGCTCAAGGAGCCACAGATGTGCTGAGGTTGGGTTTGAACCAGCGACCTTCTGCTCACCGGCACACTGGGTTCTCAGTGAGGGGCTTCCTGGGCAGGTGCTGGTATAGCCAGCCCTTGGCTTTACTCAGCATCCAGATCTTGTGGTGGAGATTCTACAATGGGCTGGAAGTGCAAAACACATTAAGGGAATGCAAAAAAACAAAAGAAATTGCAAAACAAAAAAAATGTTAAATGTTTGATTTCTGTGTTTTTTGTTTCTTTTATTTTCTTAATTTTCCTAAATATTTTTGCATTTTTTGTATTTCTTTTCTTTTACTTATTTGCATTTCCTTAATGTTTCCCCCCCCCCCCTCAGGCCGCTCTATGGTTCATTATGGAATCCTGTGCAGCCTTCCTGAGTCCCTGCTACCCTATCGTTCAGGATTTGGGAGGTCTTTATAATGCTGACTGACACAGTTAACACCCACTTTAAATATTACACCATCCATTTGCTATATTCCCTGTGGCTGTTCTCTGCTCGTGGTGATGAACCTGTTTCTGAGCTCTTTGCAAGTACCAGCGGTCTTTCCTGTAGTCTCCCCTCTTGGCTTGACTGGTTCAAGAAGGTAGATGCTGATTGGTGTGACTAATCAGTTCACTTGTGTGTGTGTGTGTGTGTGTGTGTGTGTGTGTGTGTGTGCAATGTTGTGAAAGGAAGTTTATCGTGGCCACCTCCGTTCCTTGTGTTTTGCATCTCTCTTTCTGTTCAGTGGCTTGGGGAGGCTACACTCTCAGCCTCTGCTTGTCCAGTGGGGACGTCCTGATAGGTGTGATGTCACTTCCTGCATTTCCTTATGCCACTGCACAATCAAGTCAAGTCATATTCAGCACCCTGCATACTGCGGCAGGAAATAACATTTCCTGAAGACCACGGTGCTACATACTTGCATATAAAATGTAGAGAGAGACAGGTTTGACAACATTTTCACACAATGTAAATGCATTAAGAGTTGTTAGAATGTGTAGAATTTAGGCAATGGTGAATGCAGCAGAATTTCTGGTTTTGACTTTACCGATTTGCCTTTGCATGGAGGATGAGTGGGAATCCCAGCATGGCCTCCGTTTTACTGTCTGAAACGAGGCAGAGTTTGCAGGCTACCATTGCCATATTTCCACGTTAAGGAATAAGCTGAAAGAGTGTGCAGGAAATGGGCAGGGTCTATGCTCTCGTATGCTCACAGACTCATAGGCATGTCCTTGTTTATAAAAAGGTCTGTAATGGATCCCTACTTATGTCTGATTGAAAATGCTACAGCAATGTGGTTCCTTGGAAAAACAGTCTCTTAGAGACAGAAGTGATGCAATGTGTTTTGGCATAATAAAGCACTTTAAACATGGAACTTCTACTGTACCTTCTGGTTGAGGCTGAGCAAGTGTGTGTTATGGTGTCAATAGAAGATAAACACACTGGAATACATCTAGGTTTGCAATAAAAGGATGAAGATAGACCTGACGACCCATCTCTGCTCCCTCCCTCCCTCCTCCTTTCTCGGCAGGCTTCCACCTCATCCCGCGTCTCTCCTCCATCGTTCCCGAGAGTTGCCTGCTCATCGTGGTGGGGCTGTTGGTGGGCGGACTCATGAAGCTGGTGGGAGCGGCTCCCCCAGAGCTTCAGTCGGACGTCTTCTTCCTCTACCTGTTGCCGCCCATCATCCTTGACGCCGGTTACTTCTTGCCCATCCGGCCCTTCTCGGAGAACCTGGGCACCATCCTGATGTTCGCCGTGGTGGGCACGCTCTGGAACTCCTTCTTCATCGGAGGCTTGCTGTACGCCGTCTGTCAGATAGAAGGCACCGACCTTAAATCCATCGGCCTGCTGCCCTGCTTCCTCTTCGGCTCCGTCATCTCTGCCGTGGACCCAGTGGCGGTGCTGGCCGTCTTCGAGGAGATCCACATCAACGAGCTCCTGCACATCCTGGTGTTCGGAGAGTCGCTGCTCAACGACGCAGTCACCGTCGTGAGTAGGCGCTCAGAACCCCCCCCTCCCCTGTCCCCAGGATGCCTGTGTCTGCCTCATAGTGATCTGCTGAACCTCAACCCCCTGAGATACGACTCCAAACACAAGAAACGATTAATAAGACCAGACAAAGCCCTACATTCCCACTCCCTACCCCTTACCAGAGGTGGAAGGTTCAGGTCCAGAAAGTACAAATCCAGACCAAGGTTTTGTTTCAGCCAACCCAGTGACTATTAAAAACTTAGTCACAGAGTACTGGTTGGTTGAAACAAAACCTTGGTCTGGATTTGTACTTTCTGGACCTAAACTTTCCACCTCTACCCCATTTATATTAGAAATGCACCTTTCTCTCAATTCCTGATGACTCCTCCACACTCCACTACTTCCATGATCTGTTGTGTTCCTCCTTCATGTGTTGCGCTTCCTCTTGGTCCTCTCATGCTGACTGGGCATTGTGGGTTAAAGGTAGTGGTTCACCAACATAGAAACTCAATGACATTTTAGCTTGTTTGTCCACAATATCTCCAAAATAAAAGCCATTGTGGAGGCTGAGCTGTCAACTTCGCTGAGAATTGAAGTTTCCTCTGTGGGAGTGTTTACTTCTTCCGTGACATTTCCAAAACGGAAGCATGTGGCGTGCTCCGTTAACTCTACCAACCTGTGCATTTGTTGTCTGTTCTCCAAAAAAAAAAAAAAAAACTACTATATGACTGGCTGGAATTGCATTAGATTCTATAACGTGATCGGATCATGAGTACTATCAAGCATTGTTCCTTATCGACAGTTTATTTAAATTTTATAACAATAAGTTATGTATTTTTATATGAGTGATCAGTGATCAGCTCCAAAACCGCTGATTGGGGCATCGCTACCGGTAACTAATGTATTTTTGCCCAATATTACAAATTGCCAACATGATAACCTGCTAACTTCTGAGCCACTTGCTGAGCTGGGCGGTTGATGCTGACGGTGAAACTTTTTGCCTTAGCGCCATTGGTTGACGACAAACGCACTAAGCAGTCATCTCGTATCGTTGTAAGCGTCTTCCTAGTAGTTCATGTTTGAACAAAAAGTACCTAGTCTGGAGTAGGTATTAAAAAACGGTTCTGGAACTGTCTCTGAGGAACTACAATGGGGCTGAGGTCCTGTGGTGTGAACATGTCAGAAGTTCCTGGTTCTGGGAAAAAAAAGTTCTGGTTCCTGTGGTGTGGAAGTGCCTGTTGTGTTTACCTTTGGTGCAATATCAGCCAAGATTGCCACATTGGACTGAATCTAATATCTTGTTTAGTGCCAAAGCTGGGAGACTGGCAGGCTGTCCACCCCTTTTGGGGCAATGAAGATATTCCTCCATGTATGAAAATGGCTCACTTACCTGGTTCATGGTTTGGTATCCCATTAATGATAAACAAAGGAAATAAATACAGGGTCTGCCATAGGACAGTTTTTTTATAAATATATAAATATGTGCATATATAATGTGTGTGTGTGTGTGTGTGTGTGTGTGTATGTGTGTGTATGACCCCTCAACTCGCGTATGCAAACTGACTGTTCTCCTGCATCAGAGTTCCTCTTTTGGTTTGTTTGTTTGCATTTTGTCTCCCAGCTGCTGGGTGTGGTGAAGCTGTGGGGGGGGGGGGGTTGTGGATCTTCAGAATGCGTCGAAGCAGAGAAGCTCTGCAGTGGCACAGGGTGGGGGTGGGGGGGGGTGTCCCTGGGACTGATTCCAGCTTTAGCGTTGTGCAGTGCCTCTGCATCATCGTTGAACTGCCTCGGCCCCCGAAAGTTCTAGAGCAGAGATGACAGAGAGAGAGAAGGCCGTGTCCTGACAATGGCTGGGGAGAGTGATCCTGAAGGACAGTTACATTTCTGGGGTTTGTTAAACCCTTAATGGTCTAAAAAGCATTCCTGTACAAGAACTTGTTTGAACCAACTCAGACCCAGCTCAGGATTAGCTAGACCCAGTCTGATTGATGTTCTGCAGTGATACCTTCTCCTCACAGCACGAAGGACATCTATGCTAATAATAGTGTCTCTGTATGGTCATCAAGATGTGTAAACGGCTTAATGGCGAGGGTGAGTCACACCCGTTCCGGGGTGAGTCACGCTCACAGGTGCTCACAAGGCGGGGGGGTTTCTGCATTCCTGCACAAGCACGCTCTTGCATACACACTCAGCTGTGTCTCTTCGCTGAACCATTCTGGGGATCTCACTGTCCCCGTCTGTCTCCTCACGCCGTGCCTGAGCCCCATCTGCACACAGCACCCTTTCTGTAGCAGAGGACTGTGCGCAGTCGGACCGTTCCGGGCCGGAATACCTCAGAGATAAAGGAGAGGGTTAGCTGCCGCCTCTCTTAATAAATGGCTCTTAGAGGGCACTGCAGATGTGTGGTTGTGTGAGAGAGATTGTTAGGCAGTCATTTTTACAGTGTGAATGACGCCCCATGGGGCTCTCAGGCTGATTTCAGGAACTCAGACAGCAACAAGCAGCCTAGAGAAGAAGCTAAGAAGCCGGTATATCGGTTAGTCATAGACCCAATCTTGGTTGATATTGCGAGCTAGTATGTAAACTTCATCAAAGTTATTCAAAGTTAGCAGCACCAGAGCTAAAGATATAACTACTAAAATAATGAATACAATTGGAATATCAGAGATCGGCCATGTTCTGTAGTGGGGGACGAGGGATTGTTGGCTCATTCATCACTTAGAGGTCTCCGATTACCGGCCTTATTAAATGTGGCCTGGTAATTGGTCCTTTGTTTTCCACAAAGAATGAAAAATTATATAATGTCAATCTGCCAATCAGTGCCAGCAAGTAGGCATGGTTCACCAGTGGTAACCCCCCCCCCCAACCCCCACCCCCAGTTTTGAAACTTTCCATGGGAATTGACAGGAATTTATGGGAATTAATGGGAAAACTCCCAGAATTTTGCAATCCCAGAATTGTTGGTCGCTTAGTTTTGAGTGGATGGATGGATGGATGGGTGGATGGATGGATGGGTGACTACCTTCTCGTCCCCTTCTCCCCAGGTCCTGTACCACCTGTTTGAGGAGTACTCGGGTTTGGGCATGGTCACGTTCCTGGACGTCTTCCTTGGCGTGATCTGCTTCCTGGTGGTGTCCCTGGGCGGCGTGCTGGTGGGGGCTTTCTACGGCCTCCTGGCTGCCTTCACCTCCCGCTTCGCTTCGCACACTCGCGTCATCGAGCCGCTCTTCGTCTTCGTCTACAGCTACATGTCGTACCTGTCTGCCGAGGTGTTCCACTTGTCCGGCATCATGGCGTAAGCTCTTACACGTTTGTCCGTCTTTCCCTTCGTCCGCGTTTTCGTCCAGGATGTCAGATACTGTCTCTAAAATTCCAGTTTATAGAAAGAAATGAACGAGATGGGAAAATGTTACTCGAGTTTGCAGGACTCTGTGACTCAGATACAGTTTAGCTTCTGCAGTCAAGTGGTTCATTAACAGAGTGGTGCTTCTGCATGATGCTCAAGCCTGTGTTTTGGTTTGTCGTGTCTGGATCAGCTCGCAGAAGCAGGGCTTGATTTGGGTACGGTAGGCTCCTGGTGGCTCTTGTTTGATCCACTCAGGGGTTTGTGTACGGTGTCATTCTCCTATGGGGAGCAAGTGGAATCATAACCGGTGTCAGCAAGCAGGCGATCAGCTGTGGCGTTGTGACGGATTTGTGGTCAGAGTCCGTATTAAATATGGCTTTGGTAAAATTGTGACCCTGCTAATGCTTCCCGTATTCCAGTTAAGCCTGTGCACTTCTGAAGGATGGTCCTGATCAAAGGTTCTCTCTTGTTCCCCTTGTGTCCGTGTTGACGTCGCCCATCAGGCTGATTGCCTGTGGTGCCGTCATGCGCCCCTATGTGGAGGCTAACATCTCCCACAAGTCACATACCACCACCAAGTACTTCCTGAAGATGTGGAGCAGCGTGAGCGAGACGCTCATCTTCATCTTCCTCGGCGTCTCCACGGTGGCTGGGCTCCACTCGTGGAACTGGACCTTCGTCACGGTCACCATCATCCTCTGCCTCGTGGCTCGTGTGCTTGGTGAGAACCCGCCCCCCAACACAACTCACCCCTGGGCTATATGTCAGTGATGTGTTTGTAAGGGTGATGAAGTACTGCGGACCAGGTGTTGGGGCATCCTGGATATTATGGGGAATGGAATACTGAGGGTAGCGACGTGATTCATTTGACCTGTGCATTATCAGAGGCATATTGACAGGACAGGACAGGGCAGGCAATTGCCTGGGGCTCTAAGCTGGGAGAGCGCCCCCCGAAGGTGGCCGATTTACACAGTACATTGCAATAACAAATCTGCTTTATTCATGCATTCTGTTTTTTCACAAAAGTAAAAAGAAAGGTCATTAAAGGTCATTGTGTTCATGATACTCTCTTTGTTGATATTATTCATTTAGACTTAATGCTAAAATAGTAGTAATAAATTTCACCATGTCGGGGGAGGGTGAGTTGAAGGGGGGCCCCTTGGAGTAGTTTTTTGTGTAGGTCCCCCAGTGTCCCTAGAATCACCTCAGTTTATGGTCCTGTAACTCTTGGCCCCTTTCACCATCGACGCCCAGCGGCGTTTCCTATTGAGGCTTGAGTAGTTTCGGTCTTCAGTCCTCCCAATAGCTGCCCCCCCTCCCCCCAATCCCCGTTCCGACACCTTTACCCAGTGTTAGTGTAAAACAGCAGGACTTCATCACCCTCTGAGTTGTCTGCCTTTAACTATCCCTTGTTCACGCCCGTTTTTCGCTCCCCCAAGGGGTGATGGGCCTCACTTTCGTGATCAACAAGTTCCGCATTGTCAAGCTCACCAACAAAGACCAGTTCATCATAGCCTACGGGGGCCTGCGAGGGGCGATAGCGTTCTCTCTGGGCTACCTCCTGCATCCCGAAGAATTTCCCATGCGGAACATGTTCCTTACCACCATCATCACAGTCGTCTTTTTCACGGTCTTTGTTCAGGTAGGTCTTGTGTGGAACGAATAGCCACAATCCCTGCAAAACTCTTGAGGGCCGTAGTTACTGTGATGCAGACTCCTTTCAGAGAGTTAATTGGAATAGTATGAGTAATTGTGCTTTGTTCATCCCCCATGGAGAAATTGGGTAGTCTTTGCATATGTCCCCTTGAGAGAGGCACTTGTATATACAGGTTAGAGCAAGTTCAGGGTCAGAGCACAAACTCAGCCAGCATCCATTCCCGCTGGAGCCCAGGGTTCTAAGGGTCTTGCACAGATACCCCATGGTAGTAATATTGTTCAGCCATTCGCTGTATTTGAACCCGTGACCTTCCGGATACGGCACAGGTCCATAACCCTGACCCTATTCCATTGCGGCATGTGAATTGAGGGATCTTTTGGCAGAGCTGGCAGTAGGAGATCTGTGTACTGTGTCCTCCCAAGGCAGTTCATTAGCCACCTGTTTGCAAACTGGGTTTGTGACTGATAGGTTCAAATCCCAGGAGGAGAGCTGCTCTTGTTTGCTTCAGCAATCTACCAGGATTAAAGGTGTTTCCAGCCCCGGAATCTTCCAGATAAAAGGGTCTCACTTAAAAATGATTAAATCCCTTCTTTTTACCCTTTGCGAAATTCTACTCTTTGATGTTAAAAAAACGATTGGACATATATGCACGTTGCATGGTTATGCCACAGAGACCGATGCTGCAGGTTAGAGATTGATCTCTGTATCCTATTCCGGCCTCCCACAGCAAGTCATTCGCTGGGTCAAGGACACCTGGATCTGTGATTTACTAAAACATCTCGCAGATACGAGGCAAGATTCTGAGAAAGCGCAGTAGGTAGAAATCCGGGACAATACAAATAGGAGAAATAGTTTTTCTGTGTGGCTGGTATTGTCACGAAGGCTAGGCTGGGTGATGAAGCCTTTCTGCCTTTGTTTGCCTCAGCGTGAATAATTTATCTGCACCTTTGGATGCCTGATCATGGTGTTTTTGTCACGTGGACTGTGGCACGGTGGGGTGACCGTGTGCAAAAGTGTCCTCCTGCTATTGGTCATTAAGGTCCACAGGAGACTTTTTACTGAATCTGGTCTCTCGGCATGGCGGTCACGACTAATGACGCCTTTGTCAAGTTTGATGTTTTGTCATGCCTGTAGTTCTCCAGACTGATTCATCCTGCTGTGTAATCCCCCTTATGCATCAGGGCATGACAATCCGACCTCTGGTGGACCTCCTGGCCGTGAAGAAGAAGCAGGAGACCAAGCGCTCCATCAACGAGGAGATCCACACGCAGGTAGGTCCTGACTGTGGCCATGGTGATGGGCGAAGCGGAATGGTGACACCCTGACCAGCAGGCCCGGTTAGACCTGGCTGGAGCCGCCGTCGGCATCAGATTCCAGGCGTCAGACGCCTTGCAGGGACTCATCACCATCGACATCTAATCTCCCACTGGGCATCCGGTTCACAAACCTGTTCTCTCCGTTATGCTTGCGTGGGACTGAGGTACTGGGTGGTGCTGGGTTCTTCTTCTGGCTTACTGGAGTAGTAATTCAAGAGATCACCCCCCCCGAATACCTGTAATAGTACCCCCTGCTGGTCCCGTGGAGCTGGTGCACTAGGCATTCTGGGGGCATAAGCTAGTCAGGCTGCTGGTTGTCTGCACAGTCATAATCTGTTAGGGTAGATGGGACATTCCCCCCCCGGAAGTGACAGCTGCCTGCTGTTTTCCGAGCCTCCAGTTGCATGCATGAGTCAGCAGAATTCTGCCTGCGTGTCGGAAGCTGAGGTTTGCAGCACTCGGTCTCTCTGTCGCAGATTCAAGATGCAGATGGGACTCGTGAATGACAGCTTGCGCTCTCTCTCTCTCTCTCTCTCTCTCTGTCACTCTCCCCCTCTCTCTCTCTCTCTCTCTCTCCTGTTGTTCCCAGTTCCTGGACCACCTACTGACAGGCATCGAGGACATCTGTGGGCACTACGGCCACCATCACTGGAAGGACAAGTGGGTCTCTCTTCCTGTATCGGATTTCCAGCAGAAGAATGTGCTCATATATTACTGATCGGGATGGGGAGTCTGTGTGTTTATGTACTGCAGGACAGTTATGTCTGGGATTTTGCAGTAATTTTACATGCTGGCTTATGCCTGGACTGCGGGACATAAAATAAATGTAAAATAATGTTAGCAGGACCCCTGGCTGAGCCCCCCAGCGCGGAGCTTCACAGCCTGCGTGATTACATCAAAGTTGGCAAGCTTTTAATCTCCACTGGATTAGAGGGCTGACTCAACCTCAGTGACAGCCTCCAGTGACACTGCATTTTAGTTTGAGAAACAAGGGGGGAGGGTTCCTGTTGTCCGCTATCAGCGTCTTTTGGTTCGCGCATGTCACGCGAGCGGCTCTGTGGCCGGGGGAGGAAGTTGTGGGGGATGGTCTCAGCGATTGTATCTTGCCCTCAGGCTGAACCGCTTCAACAAGAAGTACGTGAAGAAGTGCCTTATCGCAGGAGAACGTTCCAAGGAGCCACAGCTCATCGCCTTCTACCACAAGATGGAGATGAAGCAAGCCATCGAGCTGGTGGAGAGCGGTGGCGGCGTCAAGCTGCCCTCCGCTGTGCCCTCTACCGTTTCCATGCAGTAAGCCCCGCCCCCAGCCCCGCCCCCAAACTCAGCTGAGGGTGTCCTAAAGTCAGCCCTAACAGCTCCCCCCCCAACTTTTCAGGTGTATGTCGGGTTTGTCTACTTTTAGAACCTTGCTGCTGTATGCAGAAGAATTTCCCCCGGGATCAGACAAATGTTCCCAGCTCTAGACCACAGATTACCACAGGCTTCCGCTCGCACAATATAGCCTCTTACAAAAATAGATCTGAAAATACATTCCAAAAATAATCTTTCGAGTGTGTATTATTTGGTTGGTCGATGACTAAGAGCTTGGTGTTTGTTGGGTAAGTGGCAGCTGTTAGACGGTGAATCCTGAGCTCCTGATGAACCGTGATGGGTCGTCGAGGTGCTGGAAAGTGCCTCATAGTTTCTTCTGCCCCCCCCCCCCCCCAGGTCACTCTGCTCATGATGGGAGGCCGCACATCTCCTTTGGATTTTAAGTTGTATTTTGGAGAGACGTCGGCTTGCACTGTGGTTGTGTGCTTCATGTTGTTTCTCTCGTTTTCCCAGGAACATCCAACCCAAGAAGTCCAACTCTGAACGAGCTCTGCCCCAGATCTCCAAGAGCCGTGAGGAAGAGATCCGGAAGATTCTGCGGAGCAACCTGCAGAAGACCCGGCAGAGGGTGAGACTCCATTTCTGGGTTCCTTCACCACCCAGAGTAACCTGGGGCTTTAACTGATGTCCTATTGATAGTCAGATTCTTAGGCCGCAGCCGCAAAGCTTGAGGTCTTGCGTTGAAGTTTACGCTCATTTTTGGTCACTGTATCCGTTTTTAGCTTCTCCCGTGTCGGCTGCCGGAGACAGTGCTCATCCGTAAATAGTTGGGAATCTCCTGTCTTGTAGGTCGATTTGATCCCTGTAGTGTAGCACAAAGGTTTCAATTTGGTTGACTTCACTTCAAGATACATGAGATGGTGTGGCCAGGTCCAGACACAGTCCTGCCTGCTCTGACTGGATTGTTCTTTTATTTACTTGTATGTCAGCATTTGTCACTTAAGATGATGACACTCATGAATTTAGGATTGCGGTCTACTCATGGTATCTTTAAAGAACCGACTCAGCTTTGCTGGTGGGTATCCTTCAGATCAACAATAAACCAGCAACGACCTGAAGAAAGCAGTCTGGGGTACAAACCTGACCATATCGACCACCTCTGCTCAATTTCTTGCTGGTGAACGTGCAGACCTTGGAAAACTAACTGGATGACTTCAGGGCTAAGGTGAAAGGAGAAGGTTACGATTCCTTCTCATTTGTGCTCAGCTGACCTGGAGCAGCTAACGGTTACATGCCGATCATTCTGTCTTCTCAGCTGTTTACATGCCATTCCATGCATATACGCATATCGCAGATTCCGTGCTGTATAAATGTTCGGCAGTCACCAAACCGGCAACTTGGACTCGGTCCTCATCATAGCCGGGGACTTTGACAAGGCTGATGTGAAAAAGGTAATGCCAGACTTCTACCAGCACATTGATTGTCCGACGAAGGAAGAAAGCGACTTGATCACTGCTATTCGCATTTCAGGGTCTGTTACAAAGTACTGTCTCGACCTCCGTTTGGATGATTGGATGCCTTTGTTTTCTTATAACCAAAATATAATCAAAAGGTGAAATGAGAAGCTCAGAGAGCACTCCCAGGCAGGACCTGAAAGCCCGCACAGACTTGCTAGCTCCAGTGTTTTTATCCATAGTCAACTCATCACTGTCCCAGGCCAGAGTGCCACCATGCTTCAAAAGAACCACCATCACCCCTGTCCCCAAGAAGCCCCATCCTACCTCCCAGTTGCACCCACCTCAACAGTGCTGTGAGAGACTGGAATAGATCTGCTCTGCACTTTCTGGTCCTGCTGCAATATGTTTACCTGCTCTGCTTTTAACGCAATAATCCCTGACGAGCTCATCAGCAAGCTGAAGGACTTGGGGCTCATCACCACCCTGTGTAGCTGTGCTTTCAGACGTGCAGACCCTGCGTTGTCACACCATTGTTAGCTTTGCTGATGACACGTGGTGGGTTGGATCTTCAGTAATGATGAAACGGCCTACCAGAAGGAGGTGCGGAACCAGGCAAGCTGGAGTCAGGAAAACAATCTCCTGAACATAGTGTGACAGAAGAGCTGATTGTGGACTTTGGAAAGAAACAGGTGGACCACTAAGACCCGCTTGCAATCAGGTCTTTTCTGTGGAGAGTAGGGATGCACCAGTACCGGCACTGGGTATCGGGCCGGTAACATTATGTTAAAACTCAAAGCTGTGGCATTTTCTTCTTTTTGCTGTCTAATCAAATGTTGACATTAAGTACTTGTTTGGTACTCGGTATCGGCAAGTACACAAATTCTCGTACTCATACTCGGTCTGAAAAAAAGATGTCTGTGCAACTCGAGTGGAGAGGGTGTTCAGCTTCAAATACCTGGGTATCCACATCACGGAGGACCTGGTGTGAGCAGCCCCCACCAGTGGCCTTGCTAATAAGGCACGTCAGCACCTCCACTACGTCAGAATGCTGAAGATGTTCAGACTGGCTGCCAAGATCCTGACGGCATTCTGCAACTGCCCCATTGAGAGCATCCTGTCTGGTGTGATCTCCTGAACCTGCAGGCCACTCGCGGTATGTGGTGCAAAGCATTGAAAATAAAAGACCTTACCAATCCCAGCAACAGCCTCGTCTGTGGTCAGGGAGATCCTTCCCGCAGCCTGAAGGCTAAAACCAAGAGACTCAGGAAAAGCTTCTACCCTGAGACTGTTTAATCTCCAAGAATTCATTTAGCTAACAAGCACTTTATGCACTTATCAGCCCGCTGTGGAGGATTTCAAACTCTTTGTTGTTTTTGTTGTTGTTTTATTCTAGTCTTTTAATATTTAGTTTTTTCTTTGTATTACCTATTTCCTCAAGCACAGTCCAGGCAGCAGGTGGGCAAGCTTTTCAATACGCAGTAGTACAGAGTATGACTGTGTGTGTGTGAGAGAGACAAATTAAACTTGAAACCTCCCCTTCCCCCGATCCAGTTGCGTTCCTACAACAGGCACACGCTGGTGGGGGAACCCGATGAAGATGGCTGGAATGACTTGCTCCTAAAGAGGCAGAAGATAATGGACATGGACAAGGTGAGATTCCGTTTTCCTCACAGTAACACCGGTCTATGATATGAATGGTCGCCCGGCCTAATCCGGATGGTTTTTTTTTATTTGCGCTCTGTAGCAGATATCAAGGATGAGTAACTACCTCACCGTGCCAGCGCCCCCCCCAGAATCGCCCACGCTTAGCCGGTCCCGTCTTGCATCAGGTGAGTGGAGGGCAGAGCGCCCCTAGTGGCCATGGCTGCGCTTGTCAGACCGCCAACCCTGTTATTGCCACAGTTGTTGTAATCCCAGTGAATGACAGAGAGAGCACACAGCTTGTTAGCTTCACAAGACAGACCTTACTCTGAGTCGGAAAGTAATCCAGAGAAGTCACAATGCGTGAAATTAAGGACCTTCTGGTCTTGAGACCTTTATCACGTATAACTTGGTGTCCCTGGCAGAGGCACAGTAGGAGCATGGATGCCTTGGTATTTTTCAGGAGCCCTTCAATACATAAAATTATAAAATATGCAGTCAGCCCTTCCCGTCGTGGGTGTTAGGGGTGGAGGCCATCGGCAATCTGGAAAAACAGAGTAAATTTGTTTTCAGTCCCCTTGGTGAAAAGGTGACAAATGCACGTCAGAAAGATCACTGTGAGATGTCACATGAGGCTGCCCTTACTACCCTTGGCATCCCCCAAAGCAGCGCTGTACATATATTTTACGTGTTTACGAGTTACTAAACTTTTTGTGTGCCATCTGCTGGCCTTTTATTGTCATCTGCGGCTTTTATTTTGCCATAGAAATTCCCATTTAATTTCTTAAGCCAGCCTTGCAGTGGGGGAAGTCGTAAGGTGGGGGGGTCCAAGGTGACATTTTGTTTGGGGGCCTAGAATTTCCTGCTGTGCCCCTGGTCTCACAGTCTGTCCGTGATCCTCGTGATGAAGTGTCTGAGCCTCTTCCTTTCCTGGGTTGTCTCACCCCCAGACCCCCAGCACTACGTCCCCAAGCCCACCCTGGGCAACGTGCCCATCATCAAGGTGGATCTGGCCTCGCCGCAGTCGCCGGAGTACGTCAGCGTGGTGGACGAGTTCCAGAAGGAGGCCGTGCCGCTGAAGGAAGAGGACGAGGACGCGGGCGGCCTGACGATGAAAGTGCCCCTTGGAGACCCAAAAAAGGAGGAGCAGGAACAGCAGGACGGCGGTAAGGAGCAGCAGCGCCTGATGCGGTGCCTGAGTGACCCGGGGCCTGGCGGAGCTGAGGAAGAGGACGAGCCCTTCCTCCCATGAGCGAGCGCTGCCCCCCTGCCCCCCCAGGAGATGGCAGACTACCCTGCTCCATGCTGTCCATGCTGTCCCTCCATGATTTTGCATTCATTTGGGTTAAAAGACTGAAACAAGCCAAAAAAAAAATGAACTGACACTGAAAGAGGAAAACACAATACAGCCATTTATTTTGTACCATTGTTGTCTGTTTTTAATGTCCTCTGCGCCATAAGCCTAGTCTTGGGCCCTTCGGTGCTTTGGAGGCCGGGGTTGCAGTACTATGCATTACCAAAGGGTGGCGCTCCTGTTTCAGGAGGACAGACGTGGGTCCAACCTCCCCCTCCGGCGGCTCTAGTTGGCACCCCTCCCACCCCGGTTTGGGCCGTTTCATGCAGTGTTTGTGGTGTTGTCGTCTCTGCCACCATCGGGTGGCGCTCTTGTTCTTTCTTCTTCTCTGTACGTCGGAGTTCATCTCGTTTATGTTCCATAATTGTTGGTGCATCCGATTCAGAAGGAAAAGGGAAAAAAGGGAAAAAAAACCCAAATTGTAAATTACTACTCGGGTAAACCTCCACTTGGGGAAAGCTTTTCCACTGCACGAGGTCCTGAACTTCTGGTTCTGGTACTTTTTTTCCACTGATTTCCAGTCCAGTGGCAGTATCAAAGTACCAAGGCTCCTGGGGTACTCCTGGTACTCTGAGGCGGGACTATTGAACCTGCCTCTAAAACACAAAATACAACCGGCATCTTGAAAAAGCACAATGATAAACGAAGTTTAAACAAAGGTTATACCAGGGGTGCCCAACCGCAGTCCCGGAGGGCCGGAGCCCTGCACATTTTTGGGTTTCCCCTCATTTAACACCTGATTCAACTCCTTGTGCTAATTACCACACAGCTCTTGAGCTGAATCATTTATGGTGGAACAGGGAAAGAACTAAGCTACACAGGGCTCCGGCCCCCCAGGACTGGAGTTGGGCACCCCTGGTTATATGAATGGAAGCATGGACTAATTAAGAGAGCCAAGCTTTAATTTCCATCACGTCAGAATAACAGATTCAGCGAGATGTGGATGCCGTAACAAGAATTAAAGCATTTCTTATACTAGGGCTTCACAGTATAGGAAAAATTTCAAACATCGCGGTGTGATTTTGTTGCAATAAATATTTACAAAGCAAAATTTCACAAATTTAGATGGGAAGGTTGAAAATGATGGAGAGTTCAAGCAAAAGCAACGGCGCTAAACTTTCAACAGATTTTTAAACTTGTACTAGATAATCTTTGAAAAGCAACAATCATTAAAATTGCAAAGCTTGCCAAGTTTTGATTATTAAGAGCGTAAAATGTTTTTGTGGAACTTGAACCGGCTGTGCTGTAATGTCTGGACAGTATGAAGGTGTGGAAACGTGTGATCTCAACCCAGCTGACTGTAGCTGTCCTTGCAATGTGAGAATCGCATGTGCGTAACATGTGATGTTGATATTAATATTGCACATCGCCCAGCCCACCCTGCCTCATGGCGTAATGTCATTCTGTGCCAGTACCAGTTTATCACACCGGTATAAAACAAACACAGGAAGTAGCATCCTCTTGGGTAATGTTTTGAAGCATCAAAATTTCAGGACCTGGTGCAGTGGAAAAGCACCCTTGGTGTATTGTAACATCACCTGTCAGCTCTCTGTCATGTCTCTCTCATTCTTAAGCAATATCATCTGTGTACTAATCGACTGACTACTGTGATTTCGAGGGTGGGTCAGTGGGGTGCTTGGCAGCTGGCTGGGTGTGTATGATGGGTTCTGACTGCGTCTTGGTGTCTGGCTTGTCCCTCTCCGACGCCTGCTCTCTGTCTCTGTTTTGTCTCTGTTTTGTCTCCCCGTGTTGCTAATTCATTTGCTGGCACGTGCACAGACGTGAAAAACGAGCCGCCTTGGCATTTCTCCATGTTAAATGTAGTGACAAGCAATCTTTACTTAATTATTACGAATTAATTATTAACTATTAGAAATTACTCTTCTTCAGAAATATAGATTTATTGCCATGATATTATAAACACTATTTTGTATACCTGCAGAAGTTCTTTCCCATTTCTCTTGAATGTCTTAATGCCACTAATGATCATGTTCCTGAGAACCGTGAGAGGGAGGATCCCTGATCCTGTCTCTCTGTCCAGTTTTAATGGTTACCAGCAGATGCTCTGTTTGAGTCTCTCTGCTGGGGGTGGGGGGGTGAGGGGGGGGGTGACGGGTGTTCATTAAACGTATAGTTTGCCCCCCTGTCACACTGCATTACATGCCTCCACTCCAGCAGTTTGCACCTTTTTCCTGTGTCCCTTTTGCTTCTGTTACTTTGCCCCACCTGCTGGCCATGTGGAGTCATTGCATGGTGCGTGACTACACCTGAACCACTAATGCACTGAAGGGGGGGGGGTCAGTTCTCAGGTAGTTTTGAGTTGCCACTGTGTACTGGGAGTACAAACTAACTGCACAAAATGATCTGTTTTTTTTTTTTTTTTAAATCCTTCCTTTGTCTTTGTGAGCATGTGTGAGTCATTCAGGGACCCCAAGCTTGATGAAATCGATTGTAAATCATAGCTACAGTCATTTGACTTTTGTACAACTAAATCTGTATATTTGCTTTTACTGTTGTCTTCATGTCAGACATGATCACTTGCTGGCTCCCAGTGCCTCAGTCATGTTTCTGGGTGTAAACTAGGGGTGTTTGGGTATAATGGTTAACCAGGATAAAAAAATCGGAAATGGTTATAGCATTAATGCTGTTTTATATCGAAGCTTAAATAATAATGTCCATCCATCGATTTATCGTGACTGCTTAATGGCGGGGGGTCTGGAGCCTATCCCGGGAACAACGGGCGCAGGCGAGAACCAACACACTGCAGGGCACACACACTCTCTCACACACACACACACACACACACAGAGGGCCAATTCAGACACGCCAATCAGCCAACCCTGCATGCTTTTGGACCGTGGGAGGAACCCGGAGCCCCCGGCAAAAACCCACACAAACGCAGGGAGGGGGTTCTTGCTGTGCGGCAGCAGTACTAACCAGTGCACCCCCATGCTGCCCCTGATAACGTCATGAAGCGTTAATATCTGTGACCCGCACACATGGGCTAATGATGTATTATCACATGAATATCAGTTACTTTTTAATGTTCCCAGTTCCCATGAATTCAGATTAATTCCGGATTGCGATCATTTTCATAACATGTGCAGATGCCACATTTTACATCATACTTCAGTTAGCTGCCTAACGGTCTAAAGATACTCTGAGAGGCGCTAGTAACATTAACAGGAAATTGCACCCTGACCATGAGCCACGTCGGCCCTGTTTGAACGAGGTTTTTCATGAGTGACTTGCCAGCGTGTAAAGCTGTAATAGACGAACCGTCACACTCCAGCTGAGATGCTGGCTTCTGTCACATTACTCTGCAGTTCGAAATCTGAGTCACCTGTAACCTGCTAAAACGATGCATAGGCCAATACTTGCACAAATCACGTCACTGGTTAGTTAAAATGGAGAAAAGACCAGACGTACAGTACTGTGCAAATGTTTTAGGCAGTCAAAGAAAATGATCATAGTGTCTGTCAGAGTGTCAACTAAACTATTTCAAAACTTCTCCTAAAGTCGCCCCGATCACTGCCCCACCACGAACGGCTAATCAGTACTTCATTGAGTTACTTAACTAATTAACCATTTAACTAAATAATTGATTAATTGAGCTGGCGGTACACCTGAGGGGCACTTCTGGGACCTGATGCTGTGTTTTTATAGCCGTCCAACAAGATATCAGTCACTTTGGAAATCATGTTTTATACATTTATCTTGCTGTTGCTCAGTTGCATGTATTCTGATATTAAATTGTGTTTCTGAGCAAATATATACTTACTACCCAGATAAGATTAAGGTTAAACACTTTATTTCACTGCCTAACACTTTTGCACAGCACTATTCCGTGCAACTAAATGCAATAAGAATTAAATAAGTTGATGCCACACATTTTTCATGTATGCTTGTTATTTATTGAATGGCAGGGTGTGTGTTGTTATGATGTATCAAAAATGGCAATATTGGGATATACGATTATTAGACTGTGATTTTTGCCATATTATTGCAGCGCTGGTATAAGCTACTCTGTATTGTATATATGTGACTCCCTTTAGGCTGGTATGACACACAGGAGGTCCTATGTGACTGTTTTGTTGCTTTGATGTTTTTGAGCTTGGTGTCATGTTTATGAAGGAGGAGGCAGTGATCAAGATCGCCCCCTGCCACATCCTGGTGGTACTGCATCGCCGGTGTGGCTGTGATTTTTGTCATCCCCGGGGGGTGAAGATGGTAGTTTGGCCTTTCCATCAGTACAGGGAATGAGGCGAGATGCCCACAGCATCCCCTACCCCCCCTCACCCTGAGCTGGTTCTGTCTGACCCCCTCCCAGTTTCAGTTTTTCGGGCTGGATCATGGCTTTTATTTGTGCCTTTCGTCACTGTCTCCAGTGTGGTTGGGATGGAAACCTTGGCTTGTGGGTAGTGCCACCAAACACAGCAGGACAGAGGTCAAAAATGTCTCCATGCTCCAAAGCTCCCCTGCTGGCCACAAGAGGAAGTGCGGGTTCTTATGTATTCATAAGACCACAGGCTGGCACAGTATCCATGCATTATTCGCTGTGTGTGCCTGTGTGACATGAATATAGTGATAATTCGGGCATTCAATTATAATAATTTTTTCAGTGGCTGTGTAGAGTTGGAAGGGGCATTCTGGGTAACGGTGACTAGAGGGTTGAATCCCTCCTGCGGTGGGATTCATCGATTAGTAACAGCCAGCTCACTCTGTGGGGTAGATGAATTAAATGATCATGAGCGTTTGGAGATCAGCAGCCACCTGCGTGCAGTGCACCTGTCGCCTTGTGCTGTGCTGTTTGAAAACGGGAGCAAATAATGATGATGATAATTAGGAAATAATTTTACCAGTGGAGACTAATTGGACCAGTTAAGTGAGAGAAGCTGGTTGGAGTTCAGATCTGCTTGTTTGGTTTTGATCTGATCTGATCCCCACTTTTTCTCAGCATCACATATTGAGCGATTAAGATTAAAATTAAGGAACTTTATCGATCCCACAGGGAAATTCTTCTTCATAAAGCATCAAGTATGTAGCGCACAGAAAGATGTACATGTGCAATATCCTAGACCTGGTGCAAACACACGAAAGAGTGCACAGTACTCGTATATCCTGAGAGTGTCTCGAAGTTCACTTTGGGGTGTCCAACGAAGTACTTTAACAGAGTTTTCTCATCCGGAGCTGGTGCCCTGGCGTTGCTGGGATGCCAGTAGCCTGTTTTAATCCTGTAAGTTTGTGGTTCCATTTTTGTTAAATGGGGAAATCCCTAACCCTCTGTTGGTCAGTTTGTGCTATTTCAAGTCTGTTGTCATGGAAACCTTAGTGTGTGTTTTCCAGTATGTATTTGTGCACCTTCCCATCCTCCCTGTGAGGTCCGATTGAGTGCCCCCCTTCCCCCCTCAGTACATGTGATACACTGTATAACCCCCCCTTCCCAGCACAGCATCCCCTAATAGACTCTCGCTCACTGTTGTCTCAGTGCTGTTTTTATGAACATGTAGATGTAAACAGGGTTGCCCACATCTGGGCTCAGCTCCTCCACTTCCTCCCCACCTCCTCTTCATCTCCCGTAAAGACTCCACCTGACCAGCGCATTCATCTCCTCCTCCTCTGGTCTCTCCTCTGATATCTGTCCCTGATATTTCTGCACGGCCTGTTGCTCTCTGGTTGCTGCCACTAGGGGGAGCAGTGGAATGCCACTGTCTGTTACCATATCCATCTGTGGCTCTGTAAGCAAGCAGGACCCAGTGCCGGAACCTTCCTCCGAGTTTGGCCCGTTACCCGTTCTGTGGTCAGAATGGATGTTGGTTAGCGGTTGCCTCGGCCTTCTGCCCCTCCCGAACCGCGGCGGACCCGGTTTCTCTGGACCGTGCCTTTCTCAGCCCCCCACCCCCCCACTGTGCATACAGAAAGCATGAAACCTTTATAATGGAACTCTGCTGTAAAGGAAGAGCAATACTGCACTGCAGACAGGCAGAGAGGGACACATCGCCTTGTTGACCTGCCGAGGAGGATCCTTCAGAGAGGACACGCCCCCTCCCTGGCTCAACTCCACCCCCTTCCCACTGAAACACTCCGTCTTTGCTCACACTGCTAATTCATTGTCTGGCAACATGCAAAAAAAATTGCAATAATATCGAAGATTTTTATTTTGTATACTATGAATAGAGGATTTATGGATTGAAAACTGTGTGAATCTACGGTGTTCGACGCGGGACCGGTGTGTAATGCGAACCAGTAGGACAAAGAGCAAACCGGACATTCCCTCCGCAAGGCTGCATTCCATCCCTGTATTTTGAAAACTAATGTACTGTAATGGTTTAAAGAAAATATACCAAATTAAAGTTTTAATTTATAATACATGTGAAATGCATCTGCTGTCTGCCTCGTTTCCGTGTGTTTTGAGCAGTTGGCTTAATTTTATTTTGTGTAAACTTCTTATTTTAAAAATGGGAACTGCTGTATCGATACAGTGAATTAATTCATTAGTAATGAGGTTTTAATTTTGTTTTGATGCTGATGGTTCTCTGGTTATTTTGTATGCATCAAGGGTCTGTTATCAACGGCTGTTTGAAATCGGGTAAAGATGAGGGTGTGACAGAGAGAAAACGAGGTTGCGTGATTGGATGGTTTAAATAAACGAAGGTCCTTATTTGGACGTGTGACACGTGGTGACCTTTTGTGGAAATGTGCCACGAAGCATCACGCTAATGAAGTAAATTAGCTCTGGCTGTTCTTTGCCTAATTGACAACCCGCAGATCTGACATTTGTCAAGCACTCTTCACTTGTAAAATATGCAGAGTGCTCACAGTGCAGGCTGTTCTGAATAAATCGCAGTGAATTTCACTGTCGTTTAGAGAGGCATTTGCCTAAATGGGTAACGTTCGGAACAAAGCCTCTCTGATGGATGTGTTAATATTTACCGGGGGGGGTGTGGGACTGTCATAATACAGGAACCTGTTGCAGATCCATCAAATGCCATAATATCGGTAGTGACACTTAAAAAATTCACCAGATCCTTGTAAGATTTCCATGAACGGAACCATGTGTCGGGGACATGAGCTGATCTGGAACTCGATCTGAGTGTAATAAATGTGGGAACCATTCTGGGGGATGAAATGGGCAACCACCAGGATCACGGGGTGGCAGATGAACTGGAAGTTGGCTTTATGTCACTCGCATTTTGGCACAAGTAAGCAAATTCACTTGCCCCATCCCCCTCCCCGACCCCATCTGGTAAGGACTCATTCAGATTCATTGGGCAAAGCGTTTTATTGACTGACTAAATCAAACCGAGAGCAGGGCTGTGATTCTGCCCGATTTAAATACGGCCTTCCTGACAGGTCACATGGGGGGGGTAAAATAAGCATGAAGGTCCATGACGAGAGCGACGTCACGCTCCTGCTTTGTCTATGTTCATTTATTCCAGCTCCCCGGTGCCCAAATTGGCGTGACTCACCCGAGAGGACGATGAAGGTCACGCTCGCTCTGAAAGAAGGGATTCACTTTCATTTTCCTTCCAGGAAGACGAGACGAAATCATGCCTCATCACAACCCTCAGCCAGATGACGATCTGGCCGATACACACACACACCTCTGAAGAGGTCATGTGACCCACAGAATCATCAGCTGGCTCTTAGCCAATAGGTTCCGCCTGACTTGCTTTGGCCTAGTGATGGACAGCAGCGGCCCGATTTATGACCAGGAGTAAAGATGACTAACAATTAGCTAACTTGCATTTGTGATGCAGTTACTGAAAAGCCAAGAAAAAAGACCCCAGATCCAGCTACTGGTTTCCACGCCACTATGCTGATATATTATGAGCCCCCCCTCTGTAACCTCGTGGCATTTTGTCGCTGTTATCGCCGGTTTGGATTTACTGATGGGTGGGAGTGCAAACGCCGCTGTGACTGACTCCGAGCCTTTTCCCCCAGGAGCCTCAAACCCAAAGGCACTGTAGTTCGAACCCGTACCCAGCAACCGTAGTATAAGAATGCCGCTGTTCCTCGGGACACGTGGTGATGATAACACTGAAAACTGAGATACCACTGGATCACGTCTGTCACACGGTCCCATGGTGCTTTCCCCTGCCATCGCATCACCGGTCGCTGTCCTTTCACGGGGTTGCATCCTGTTGTCGTCAAATGCTTGCGGTTACCTTGGCCTGGGCAGTTGTGTGCAGTGGGTGTCTGCTTGCATCATCTCGACAGCCAGGTTTTCCTGGCAGCCGGTGTGGACGTCCTCCCAGGACACTTTACTGCAGTGTAGCGTTGCAGAGACCGCATGTATATGACCTAACTGCACATGTCCCACGGTCCTGCCTTACCTCTGTTTGATGGGACTCACACTCACTCAGCTAAAGCTGCATCTTTATCTGTCTCATATTGCTCATGACCAAGCATTTTAACTTTAAAATTTGAACTTCAATAGCATTTAAACTTCACATTATAATTTTCACAGTCTCGCTACTACAAAATAGTAGTTTCTTAGACCGTTTTACATGCCAGACAGCTGCAGACTCTTCATTTATAGCTTAACAAAGCACATTCCTTCTTTTATTAATTAATGTTATTTGTATTAATTGTACTTGCAGACACTTGGAATGCTGGATTTGCCCCTTCTCCATCTCCTCCATTAGTTGGTCGCACCCAGGCTGTCCTGAAAGGCTCCCCTCAGACAGCACAGTAGTTTGGGTGGAGCTCGTCCAGCCTGTTTACACTATGAGCCCACGTTTCCCCCTCCCTTAAGTGGGAGCCTGTCGACCTTTCAGACTTAATGGGATCCTCCTTTGTTCCTGGCAGCAGGAGTGTGGTTTCTAGGAACAATGTTTGTTACTGTCCTGTGACCTTCGTCTGGTCCACTGGTCAACAGGGCTGCCAGATTGTGGCCTCACATCCTGAATGTCTTAGGGAATCGTTTGCAGAGCACTGGCTGCAACGCCCCACAAGCGCCAGTAGATGGCACTCTGCGGCCACAGATCTACAGGCGCCCCATCTGCAAGGCCTTGAAGGCTTACAGGGTGCCGAGGTAGGCGGCCGCAAGTTTTTTTTCGCCCAGCCTCCAGGCAGTAATAAATGTCATGACCTGCTTCATTGGTGAATGGGTCATCGGGGTCATCTGAGGTCAGGCATCTACCAATCAGGGCTTCGGAAAGCTCTGTCCTGAGAGTGGATGACCCCATTCCTGAAAATGCAGTCCGTCAGTGTCATTATCTTAACCCCCCATCAGGGCATTGTGAAGGGGGATGTGAATGGCCAGAAGCTGACAATGGTTGGAATTCTTGTGGCCGAGTGATGCAATAGTAAGGCGATCCCCCCCACCCCCCACCCCACCACCACTTGGATACTCCCAGTCACTACCGACAGGCAGAAGCACGTCTGTAAAAGCCTCCATTATGGATAATTTGAGTGTTGAGTGAAGGAAAATAAAACCTGGGATGATACCGACCCCCCCCCCATCACTGCTTTGACGTAACAGACAAACATAACAGACAAAAATTTATCAAGGTGAAAATAAGAAAGACGCCATTTAGGAGACATGAACCAGGTGGCGTGGCAGAAGGTACCGCGGTTACATAACTCATGGACCATAATGCCTTGCAGCAGCTGGAGAGCAGCGGGCTTGCAGTGAGCCATTTTACACATGTATGACCTCACTTTCTCATTTTTAGTATGTTCCTTCTCCCAACACGCAAAGAAATAGAAATCAGTCGGGCCGGTTCCTTCCTGGCCTTTAACCATCCGTGCGTCAGTTCTGCTCTGACTGGACCTAATTGCCTGCTCTTCGAACCCAGAGTTTTGGGCACATGGGACCTCCGGGCCACCAGAATCATTAGTTAAGGCTGGGGCCGCACGCTCTACGAGGGCCAGGGCACGGGTCAGGGGCACAGATGAATTAAAGGGCTCCGAAGAGTCGCGGCAGCGAACCCGATCAGATGCTTACAAGCGAGCCGGGCTTGGCTTTCGGCTTCCTGCTCTTGGCAGGGGTAAGCGAGGGCGCGGACACCTTTATCTCCATCTGTAAGAGCTGCTCTCTCTCTCCGCCAGACTCCTCTCTCCTGAAATCCTTCCTCCTGACCCACAGTTTGCCCTGAAGTTGCCTGAACATTATAATTGCAGAGGGAAATAGCAGGGGAGGGTAGGGGGTGGAGCCCTGCTCACTGTTTGCCCCGCCCCCCCTTCATGGTGGCAACACGCGGTTACACGCACCAAACATGTCTTCTATTCAAATTTTTTTCCCCTATCGCTTGTCTTCTTTTGATAAAGTTGTCAAAAGGGGTCATTCTGATGGCTTACACAGCATGCAGTGTAATTCTGTCAGATGTTTAATTTTCTTTCTTTTTTTTTTTAATAATGGGTTAACTAATTAGGTCAACATTTCTCTCCAGTAAAGTCTGGAAGGAATACAATTCACAGTGCAAGAAATTGTCCATAAGCTGACACTTTCTCTTAGGAAGAAAGTGGTGGTTGGCTAAACAGTAATTGTTTTTATCATTTTTAGATGTGCACAAATCGATATGCTTTGCTGAGGTAAGCAAACCAGATGTGTGATTATAATTCGTTATGTCCTCCATGGAAGACTTTTACAAGTCCACTACAATGTTTACATCAGCAGAGAGCTTTTGGTTCCTGGAGGACGAGGTGAATAGAATCACCTTCATCAAATTTAATCATCCTTTTTAAGACCGCGACGTGAATACCTGTCGCCAGGGCTTTGGAATGATGAGGAGCGAAAGCTGCTGGCTTTTCAGATAAAACTACCGAGGTGTTTGTCTCCTGCAGATATTTCACATGGACACAACCTTCTTGACCCTCTTTAGAGATGCTCTGCCCCAATGATGTTACATTTTTCTCACTTGCGAACACCTGCTGGATGCGATTTTGGAACGGCATCTGGTGCAAACGAATGTGACGCCTTTGCCGACGTTCCTGCACTGATCCCGAATCAGCTGCGGCAGCAAAAATTGCTTGCTGATGTCGAAAGGGGGCATATGTTCAGGTTTAGAGCAAGCTTACTCGCATCTGGTAGAGCACTGCGGCACAAAGCCAGATCTGGTTGGTCTGCACCCACCCATCCCGCTGACGGCCACACCAACGGGACAACACTTCCGGGGGGGGTCCAATTAATACCCAATTTGGCCCATATCTCCAGGTGAGGATGGAGAAGCACGTACGAGTCTCAAGTGCCAAAATGAGGGCATTCGGTAACGAGGTACAGGGGCTGAGCCACAGGAGCGCTGACCCTAGCTGAAAGCTGATTGGCCCCCAGAGTACCCCCTCCCTGTCACTCACCGCTTCAAAACGTATCATTGGCTAATGATAAAGTTAGCCACTCTGTATAAATTACGGCTCCTCTTATGCCCCTAACCTTAGAAAAAGCCCCAACTGACACGGTCGACTCTGCTGAAATCTTATATGTGTGAGATTTATTACATTTACAATAAGATTTATATTTATGCATTATTTCAACACAAACCATTACTTGACTTCAGTTCCCAGTATATGCCTGAAGATTAATACTCCGGTTGAATCACAAGTCATTCTATAAATCAACCGCCTTCCATCTTCCGAAATTAGAGTTTACCTTGCAAACGGGACACCGGAAATGGGCCATCAAAACAGACCGTCGCGGCCGCGCGACTGGAGACGGATGGACTAGACGGTAGCACCACCAGACGGCGATTGGTTTAATCAAAATTAGGTTAATTAAAGAAAAGTAATCTCCTATTAGACTCTGTTTAATCGATACCTTGTATGGATTGAGGTGAGGCAGAAACTACAGCGAGGACAAAATTAGAGCATCAGCGAAGGCAACAGAAATACAAATTAACGAGAAGAGCAACAGCGGTGCAAGGAGAATCAATCCAGTTGAAAAATGAGGCTATTTTGGTCCCGCAGAGACAGAAGCCTCCAAAAAAGCCCAAACTGCAATAAACTTTAATTGACTGCAGTGCGAGATGCAGAGCGACCCCTGGAGATCCACCCTGGGGTCGGTTCAGTTCTGACCTCTGCCGGCCTGGACAGTGAGACGTGCAGGGCCTGACGGAGTCGAATCTGTCATAACTTTGACTCACGGGGCGACTCTGGGAGAAGACCAGGGCTTATTTATACTTTACTAGCTTTAGCTCGCATGACAGATTTAGCCTCAGTGTAATTCTGCTTCGTAAAACCCATTTATAAATGGCAAACTGTCGATCCCTCCCACCAGGCACCGTGAAAGATAAAATAAGATAAGATAAGATGACCGTTATTAATCTCATAGCTGGGAAATTTGCATTGTTACAGCAGCCTAAGGGCAGTACAGGAGGAAGAAATGCAGCATAAATATACAATGAACAAGAACAGACAAATATGCATACGTGATATACATATATGAACAAAAGTGAACATCTACAGATGCCTCGATGCAGAAGAAACTGAGTGGAAGAAGCTTTCCGGAACATTCCGCAAAGAGGGATGAGCACCTTTTGCCGTCTCGATTAGGAAAGGCGTCCCGCTACCTTGGACGTGCTGAGGATGCAGCCCCAAACACTTTGGACTGGGAAATAGCTTTGGGAACAAGGTGGAACGTTAGTTATCTCCATAATAAATTTATGGCATGTATAGATATCGTATATCTGCGATGTGGCGTGACGTACAGGTCCGCGACGTGCTCCTTTACATGGCGACACAGAAAACCTTGATGAAGGTAAGGGGATGCATCGACGACGTGGATATTTGTGCATCCTTGCTGCAGGATTAGAAACATTTTGACACGCAGGCATCTCTTCTCCGGCCCGCTCTGAAGATCTGCGACAGTCAGCGCTGCCCGGGCGCCCTCTCGTTTGTTCAGATGCTGCGACAAACTCCGATATCGCTGTGGCATTTGTGAAATGCCAGGCGGCTTTGTGTCCCACTCAGGCCGTAGTGGGGAAGCTGGCAGAGACGGGGGGCGAGCGGGGGGGGTTCAGCGGGGTGGGGGGTGGGGTGGCCCGACGACGCTGAAAACAAAGAGAGACGGGGAAGCGGGCCTTTCCTCATTTCAGGCAGTGCCGTGGGCCTGCCTGTGCCTTAATTGCTCTCAGCTAGGCTCCTTCGTTAATAGCCGGGAGAGGAATTAATTCAGGCGATCAATCTCATTTCCCCGAAACGCTTCTCACCGCCGTCCTCGTCTGAGATGAACACATGCATACATTTGTTTCACTGTAACCTACTTATGTTTTTTTTTTCTTCCAGAGGAACTCAGCCATTTATAATATCACACCTAACTTACTACACCCCCCCCCCCCCCCCCCCCCCCCCCCCATTAAGTAACATTAAGCTACATTCTGATTTTCCATTGACGTCTCCCCATCCTCAGCATTGCTTTCCCAGTATTTTGAGGCTGAATGGATGAGAATATATCCTCTGGGGGGCGCTCATGGTTCTATGGGCTGGTCATTGCATTTCAGTGGTGTGTGATGATGACCCCCAACCCCCCCTCCCCCCACCACCACCACCCATGCAAGGCTGGAAGACTCCCAACCACACCCAACGTTACTCCAGAAAACCCCCCCAACACTTAAGAAAGTGGCACCAATGAAATTGTAAAAATATCTCTGACACAGCGCCAAAGACATGCAGACACTCCTGTTAACACCCCTGCAGATGACCCAGGTAAACCTTGTCTTTATCATCCCCCCCCCCAAACTCTCGGGAGAGTAACGTTTACCTGCTGGATCAGTGAACAGGAGCCTGTCTTTTGCAGCCCCAGTGACACGTCCGTGACAAATATCATAACGCTGAGCTATGTTTCCTTACAGGTAGGGAATAAACTTTTTATATTCCGCTCATGTCCCGTAATATACGCTAACAGGTATTCTTGTATTCCTCGTCAAAGTAACACGTTTTCATCGGAGCGTTTTGCTGGAGAGAGCCGCTACATTCTCGCTTTATGTCTCCGCAGCAAGTGAATCCGATTCCATGAAGATGTTTGGCGCCCAGTACGAGTACTTGTGCTACCCTGTCTTACATGTTATTGTCTTGTATGTGGTTATATATTAGGCGTCACGCGCGATGGAGTTTTATTCGGTATTTTTAAACTGGAACCAACAGGCGAACACGCAGCTTTAATACCTATTGTTATCCTCTCTATATATACTGGGCGTGCTACGCACAATTTACTCAGTTAATTAATAGGGAATAAATAAACGAATATATATATTATATATATATATATATATATATATATATATATATAATATATATATATTCACACACACAATGTTTTGAATCCACCCAGTTCAGCGGAGCCTCCCAATATTAAAACCCAGTTTGGAGTCGTAATCCACCGGAAATAAGACGATGGGATATATTAGCTGGTTTGATGCTGCGTTTAGTCTGGGTAAAAACCATCTCTGCTCCCCTGATGTTTGAGATCATCAGGCACGTTTCGAAGCAGACCGCCCACAGAGCGATATTTTCGGTCCGGGGGCGGATCTGCGCGCCGTTATTTCATTATGATTGTTACAGATATTCATTTGTGTCCTTTTGATTTGTATGTATAAAGTGTTTCCATAAACTGCTTTGGAAATGTATCAGCTGGATGACCAGCCCCCTGGATTTTTTAGCAGCCTGCGTTTCGGTCACTGTTACATTTAAACCACCCCCTTCGTCAGTCAGCCGCGGTGAACGAGCACGGATCGGGTACGCGCGTAAAGCGGGCAGACACCGGGGGAGGGAGGGGGGCAGCGATGCCCTGCGTTTCGAAGGGATCGCGTTACCGGCGATGACCGAGGAGCACATCCACCGGATCTCCGCAGCCCCACAAGCTCGTAGCCCGTGTGGGATCGCGATCCGTGCCCTTCGCAAGCGGAGACGGGACCGGGGACCGGGGACCGGGCGGCGGCTCCGCGATTACGCGGACCGACAGACGTGCATCCTCCCGGACACAGAGTCAGACGGTGCTGCCGATCTGATCTGAATCTCTCCCTGCAAAACCGCTGCATCCTCCCGATACCGCCTTCAGCTGGATGTGGGTCGGATTTCAGCCACTCTGCTGGGATCCTTCCTGTTTGTTTCCTTTTTTTGTTTCTGTTTTTATGGTTTTGTATTTTTATTTCTCCCTTTTCCAACCAGTGTTTTGTAATGCTTTGGTACGTCACCGCAAGTGAGTGGAAATAAACTTTATTCACTTGGTGCGACGGGGCTGGCCGTGTCCTTCTGCGGAAACGCCGCGAAACGCAATTAAATCCCACGATGACGGGGGCGCCGAGCCCGGGGAAGAGAGCGCTCACTTCGATGCTCATCGGGGCGCTTCTCGGCGATCTGAAAGCGGCGTCCGCGATGCCAGCTCCGCTCGCCTCCGCGCTGTAATAACACAGAAGATACCACTGGAAAGCACACGGCGCATTTTTGGATGGTCGGCTGTGGGACGGACGCGGACACCACCGGGGATGTTATTCGCTCTGGGGAGTGCATGCATGTGTGCTGCAGGCGTTTCCGTTTGACCATTGAACCGCCGTCTGCCGGGTCGCCGATGCCATCGTGGGCTGTGACGCTGCGAAGAGCTCCGTCCCTGCGAGGCTGCGTCTGGCTGCGTTACATTGTAACTTTTCAAATAAATGCAACAAGGCGATCGGCGCAGCGGACGTGTCATATAGCGCCTTGCAGCGTTTCTCTATACAGTCATTTTGATCGGGAGGAGAAATGCTCTTCCGAAAGTTACCCGGCGTGTCGGCTTCGGGGATGGGTCTCCGCTTGTCCCAGAAATTCGTTTTTTTACTCTTTCTGTCGGGCTTAGTGACTCTGTGTTTCGGAGCGCTGTTCTTCCTGCCCGACTCGATTCGCTTGAAGCGGATCTTTCTGTCCAAGACCGACAGCCCCGCCGTGACAGCGGTGTCCGAGAACGGGCACAACGAGCACCATAAAAAGGGGGTCCGGGAGCGCGAGCAGCCGCGGGGCATGACCCCCGCTAGGGGGGACGCCGTCACCAGGCTGAGAGCCGTCAGCCGCAGACCGTCCGTCACTTACGAGGCCAGAACCGCTGGGGGTAAAGCGCAGGAGGAGCGGAGCCAGGGGAGGACGGAGCACGGCAGAGCCCGGGATGCGGCGGGAGCCGCGAAAGAGAGCGCCTCCTCCGGCCGCGGACAGCACGGGGGTGCCTTCGATTACGGGAAGTTTAAAAAATGCCTGCTGAAGCCACCTTTGGGGACCGATCAGGGCGATGCTCAGACTCGGGAGCGACGAGATAAAGTCAAGGAGGTAGGTTCGTTTATAAACAATAAACCCGATTGCATAGTTTACTCACATATGCTTGCTGTTTACTCTCCTTGTTGGAAATTCTTGAGTTACAGGGCATTTAATGCAAAAGACCTTTGTGTGTGTACATCTTGGCCATTGGATTGGATTATTGTGCTGTTTAGGCAGTAAAATAGAATCCCCAGCTGACAGGAGGTTCTGTGTGTCTGCGAAGCCCCCAGCTCAATGGCATACGTCAGCAGTACTGTCGTTACGGTCCTGGCAAGACGGTCGGGTTCATTCCCAGGACAGGGCTCCCATAGCGGCACGATGGATTGGCACAGGGGGCATAACCACCCAGCTGTGCCCCATCTCTGGGTCCCTGGCTGAAGGAGAACACCGAATAGCGGCAGCCCCCGTGAGCAGAGAGGGGGTTTTGGGTGGTACAATCCGGGTTCGGCTCCCGCCAGATCCTGGAGGGTTCGTGAACAGCTATTCCTGTCGACAACTTCCCATGTGACTGACAGTGTGATTCTGAACTTTCACAAATGGCTTAACTCTGAGAAACACGCACTCAGCTCCTGGGTCACGGTCCCGTTTCGGGAGGGGCGTAGTAGATTCGACAGCCCAAGGGGGGCAGAGTGGGGGTAAAGTGGTTCATCTAAGTAAGAAAAGCATGTAAATTCCGCCATGCATACCTACGGACGCCTCAGTCCGCGACGTGCCTAACCGGTGCTTTGTGGGGTCTCATAATCTCTCTGTCCCTTTCTCTGATTTCTGTTTCTTTGTTCAGATGGGATATTTCATGGTCAGGATATTTGGGATATACATCCATAACACATATATGGGATATTTCATGGTCAGGCCTGCTAGGACCACAAAAATTCCTCTGTTTTAGCGTGTTCCTCTATTTCAGGCACGTCGGGCTCTCTGCGACACCCCAGCCCCACCCCGTGTCTGTGTTTTTACTCCCTGCTCCCTCAGTTTGGGCAGCCGGGTTTGCAGGAACAGGGGATTTCAGGGGTGATGGATTGCAGCCTAAAACTGTAAAAAAAAGAAAAAGAAAAGAAAAAATCAGTTCGCTTTCTGCCCATTGAACCCACTCATGGAGTCTGAACTCACATGACTTTGTGGTTCTTTGTTTGACCCACCCACGCTTCTGTTTACCAGGGAACCCGGTGGTTCACTTGGGCCTGCCCAGCCTCACCCAGGGCATGCCCCAGCTCGATGTCTTACCACCAAACTCCTTTGGTCACTCGGAAACTCTTTCTGTAATGCCAGCTTCTTCTGGCATTCTGCTCAGAAGCCTCCATGCCCCGGGCCAGCCCCCCCCCCATCACCCCCAGGGCTGGATCTACCATTTTAGTGGTCCTAGCAGGCCTCTGAGGGGGGTGGTGGTTGATTTAGCCAATCCAAGACTTTGTCTGGGGCCCCATATGCTGGTCGGGCCGTAGGCACCCAGTTTGTCTAGACCCCCTCCCCCTCAGTTTTAGCGGGGGCTGGATAACAGAAAGCAGGGGACGCTGACGTGATGCAAAAATACCCAGCTCAGCCCCCCTGTCTCCTGGCTCCATGGACATCCTGTGGTATCTTCATTAGGCTGGGGGGGGGGGGGGGGGCTGTGGCTCCCACCCTGCCACACGCACAGAACCTCTGTCCAACTCATTTATCTGCTTCTTTTCCGACGGACGAAAGGGAGGGCTGTTATTCACAAGGGTCCCTCGTAGAATCCATTTTCCCCAGGCAGACTTCAGAAGGGCCATGGTTTGCTGTTGTGGCCTTATTTGAGGTGTGTAGACTGTACCTGCTTTTTGTGGTCTATCAAAGGCAGTGTCTGAATCAACAAGCTGCAGCTGGGCCTTTGGAGACGGGTCAGCGCAGCAACAACCCGGGAACTTTGGACCCTACTTTCCTGCTGTTTTTTTAAATCCAGGTTTGCCAGATCAATACCTTATCCTTGCCTCGTCAGCGACGCTCGATCAGAGTCTGGCGGAGTCAGTCGGGGTGAACACAAATCCACATACGCCGTGAAATCTAACGTCCGGCTCCGCGTTTGCCCAGCCCTCCCTGTGAGTGCCTGACGTCCGACTCGCTCGTCCTTAGCGCCCCCTACAGGGAGATGCAGGCAGCGGCTGCTCAAGCCAGACGAGAGTGCTTTTAAATCCCCCAGGTGTGGATAAGTGCTTTGGCAGCCCGCCGGAGGGGGTCAGTTTTGGTGACCCAGTGAGGATTTGGGTGCACGTTTGGCGAGGGGGGGGGGGGGCACACATGCGGGGGTCACCACGTCTCACCTCTGGCGCAGGTGATTGGATGGCGGCTGAGGTCATTCTGTCTTTCCATTACGATCGGGGGAGTCCATCTTCAGCTCAGAGACAGCGCTTTCCGAGATGAGATCGGGGGGTTGTGCGCGTGTGTGTCCATTCAGGGGTCGGGTTTCAGGCCTCGATCTCCTGCCCCTTTTCTCCCAGGAGCAGACGATGCCCTCTCGCCCCCCCCCCCCCCCCCCCCCCACGCTACC